AAGTAATGAGCCACACAAGTTATCAACGAGCAGTGAAGAAGGTAATTTGGGTGTTCACATAGATTGTTGGCTTTCCTGATTCCTAAGACTGTGTGTCAGACAAGGGCAAGTGGGGGAGACATCTAGACGTAGACTGCCCGGACCCGGAGGAAAGCGGCTCTTAGCCAGTCCTGCCTCCTCCACCCTGCTGCTCCCCACAGTCACTCCCAGCGTCTGCTTTACCTCCTTTCCCCGTCTTGCACTCTGTGCACCCCGGATCTGTCTGTTTCTGGTACTGCTGCTCCTGATTCTAGCCAGCCCCCTTGCACCATCTGCCTCCTTGGTGCTGACTTTCCCTTCTAGTCCCTTCTCTTGAGCTCCTCCTGGCTGCCTGAGGCCGTGCACTATCAGTCTGCACACCCCCTTTTTGTCTCCAGCTCCACCACCGGGCCTTGCTCCCCCATTACCCATGCTCCCCTTTGTCCTAAACCAGCCAGCCAACCACAGCAAACCAACACACACAGTTCCAGGCGGCCACACCCCCAAAGCAAGTTTCCTTCTCACTTTCTCTTTATCACAATGTCTTTTAAAAAAAAGTCACCTGTCATCCGAGTCTATTCTAATCCCACCCATTTCCTTCCTAATCCTTGCAGTCTGGCTTCCGCTTTTATGGCCCATAATTTTTTAAAGGTCGGTATTTTGCGTTATTCTGATTTTGCCTGATTGCTTGATAAGGTTAACCCTGTTCTCCCTGGCCACCCCACCCCCGTCAACTTCTCCCCTCCATCAGCCTCCATGACAATGTCCTTGCCTTCCTCCCCCTTCCTCCCCCTTCCTCCCTGGGACTCCTCCTCCCCATCTCCTCCAGCTGCCAACATGAGTTTTTCCCAAGAACTCGCCCTTGACCCATCCCCTCTCTCCTATGCTCTTGTGGTAAACCCACTCGGGCTCATGGCTTTAATTCCTCCCTCTTTGTGAATCATGTCTGAAACCTTCTCTTGCCAGTCTGGCTTTATCAACCCCTTCTCTGACATTTCCATCCATACTTCCTACCAGTGCATTGATTTTAATGGGTTCAAGTCTACATTCACCCCTTGGCTTCATTAGCATATATTTCTTACCATTCCTGTTCATCAAAATTTTTCTGGGGATAATTATTTGGTCTAGTGATTAAGAAACTGGTAGAAACACCCATATCCCAAATCACAGCACCCAGGTTCAAGTCCTTGCTCTGCTCCCAATCCCAGCTTCCTGCTGGTGCCCACCCTGGGAAGCAGCGAGGTGATGGCTTAAACACTTAGGTCTCTGCCACCCATCTGGGACACCTAGATTGAGTTCCAAGATCCTGGCTTTGGCCCCATGTGGGGAGCAGCTCGGACTAGACTAAGTTACTGGAATTAAGACTTATTCTATGCATCTGCTCTCCTCTGTGGGGAGCAGCTCGGACTAGACTAAGTTACTGGAATTAAGACTTATTCTATGCATCTGCTCTCCTCTGTGGGGAGCAGCTCGGACTAGACTAAGTTACTGGAATTAAGACTTATTCTATGCATCTGCTCTCCCACAATATGGCGCTGGGAGAGAAGTAAACAGCTTCCGCACAGCTGCCTCCAGTTCAACCAATAAACTGTAGGACCTGCTCCTGATTGGAGAGCAGCGTACTCGGCGTGTGGGCAGCCGAGTTGGGATTGGCGGAGGAGGACTATAAAGGAGGAGAGAGACGGCATGCACCGGGAACATCTATGGGGAACATCTAAGGGGAACATCTAGCTGAAGGAACACCTGTGCAGCCCCCGAGAAGAGCCGGCCGGCGGTGTGCCACTCCCCTGCGGAAGTGGGGAATGTGGCCAGGGGGAACTGCCCTTCCACGGAGGTGGAAGGGATAGTAGCCAACCCGGGAAGAACCAGCAGCAAACCCGGGGAGGGCCGAGCAGACGAAAGAACAGCGCAGGGTCCTGTGTCGTTCCTCCACGAAGAGGGGGAGCGATATAATGGTGCCGTGACTCGGATACGAAGCCTAGGCAGGACTCTGTGTCGTTCCTCCACGAAGAGGGGGAGCGACATAATGGTGCCGTGACTCGGATAGGAAACCTAGGGCGGATAGGAAACTTAGGAGGGAAGAAATGACTCGGATTAGGAAACCTAGGTCGGATAGCAAACTTAAGAGGGAAGAAACGGGAAGAACTGGGAAAATACCGGAGAGAGAGACTAGCAAACAGCCTAGGGAAAAGCCGGACGAAAAGGGTGCCGGAAGAAGCTATTGAAAGCCTAGGCATAGACTCGGATATGGACTACGGGGGGAAGCTGGGAGAAATCTCTAAGGTCGAAAGCAAAAGTGAAAGCTAGAACAAACAGACTCGGACGCGGACTGTGGGGAGAGGCCAGGAGAAATGAGGGAGGAATATCGTTGGAGGAAAGCTTGGGGAAACATACCGGGTAGAGAAAAATGTTAGGGAAATTGAAGCCGCGGGGGGCAGGCCGAGGCGGAAACGGAAGCCACTTTGGGGTTCTCAAGTTAGCCCGGGAATAGGGGGCGAAAAGTTGAAACCAGAAGCTGAAACGTGAGCAAGGTTGGGATCCGTCTGATTAGCCCGGGGAGCAAAGGACGGGAAGCCAAACCGTGGGGCGGAGACGTACGCTGGGTTGAATTCGCCAGGCTAGCCCGGGGAACTTAGATTGAATGCTAATGGCGGACACGTAAGCTACGCTGTGTTACTCGCGGAAGCCGCCGCGTGCAGAGAGAGCACGGGGCGTGAATAGATAGGGAACGGGACTGGCGTAGGCCGTGGTTCGGACGCGAGGGGGTTAAGCGTGGAGACCGCGGAGCGCGCGAAGCCGAGCCGCACAAAGCCGGGAAGCTGCACAGATGAGAGAGGCACGCGGGCTGAAGCGGCGCAGAGCCGGGAACCCGCCGGCGGGGCGAGGTGCCGGGAAGCCGCGGGGATAAGAGAAATAGAAATTTAGAAGCAAAGTGAGAGAAATAGGAATGCTGGAAGATAGAAGTAAAATGGGAGAAATAGGAATGCCCGGAGATAGAGAAGTGGAGAGAAATGGGGCCTCCCCTCAACATGGCAATGAGAAAGCTTGCATTCGGTCTGCCTGATTAAGTGAGGCGATGAGCACGATGAGCACCTGCGGCGGCTAGCAGCTTATGCGCCGCAGGTCACCGAAGACAGGCACGAATTAACATCAGTAAAGCTTCCCCACAATGCAACAATTAGGAGGCTTGGATTCGGTCTGCCTGATTTAAGGCGGTAAGCGCCAGCAAGCAGCTCGACCAGAGTATGAGCTGCAGGTCACCGAAGATAGGCACAAACCAACACTAATAAGTCTCCCCCACAATAAGGCAATGAGAAGGCTTGGATTCGGTTTGCCTGATAGGTTTTGTAAGCCCCTGCGGGCAGAGCAGAGCATGCGCTGCAGGGCACCGAACACAGGCACGCATCAGCGCCTAAAAACCTCCTCACAATGGCGAAGAGAGGACCCGGATTCGGTTTTCCTGATTGATAGGACTTGTAAGAGCCTGTGGCAACTCTAGCAAGTAGAGCAGAGTGTGTGCTGCGGGACACCGAAGACAGGCGCGTAACAACGCCAAAAAAAAAAAATAAAAAGAAAGGGGGATCTGTGGGGAGCAGCTCGGACTAGACTAAGTTACTGGAATTAAGACTTATTCTATTCATCTGCTCTCCTCTGTGGGGAGCAGCTCGGACTAGACTAAGTTACTGGAATTAAGACTTATTCTATGCATCTGCTCTCCTCTGTGGGGAGCAGCTCGGACTAGACTAAGTTACTGGAATTAAGACTTATTCTATGCATCTGCTCTCCCACAATATGGCGCTGGGAGAGAAGTAAACAGCTTCCGCACAGCTGCCTCCAGTTCAACCAATAAACTGTAGGACCTGCTCCTGATTGGAGAGCAGCGTACTCGGCGTGTGGGCAGCCGAGTTGGGATTGGCGGAGGAGGACTATAAAGGAGGAGAGAGACGGCATGCACCGGGAACATCTATGGGGAACATCTAAGGGGAACATCTAGCTGAAGGAACACCTGTGCAGCCCCCGAGAAGAGCCGGCCGGCGGTGTGCCACTCCCCTGCGGAAGTGGGGAATGTGGCCAGGGGGAACTGCCCTTCCACGGAGGTGGAAGGGATAGTAGCCAACCCGGGAAGAACCAGCAGCAAACCCGGGGAGGGCCGAGCAGACGAAAGAACAGCGCAGGGTCCTGTGTCGTTCCTCCACGAAGAGGGGGAGCGACAGCCCCACCTAGCGCTGGTCCTTGTGGGCATTTGGGGAGTGAACCAGTAGACTAGCACTCTCTGTGTGTCTTTCTCTCTTTACACAGAAAGACAAATAGCACACGTGTGAGTACTAGAGGCTGAGCAGGGTTGGGGGAGGGAAATGAGGAGAGAAGGGGTGACAAGTACTAAAATGCAGTAGGGATAGCACAACAGGTTCTGGTGTTCTGCACTATCTTGAGTGACTATGGCTCACAATGATGGATAATGTTCTATATAAGGAACTGGGACAGGGGAGCTGGCTGGCTTCAAACACAAAGAAACGTTCAGGAAACGGAAAGCCTGGTTATCTGGTGTGGCCCATTTAAGCTACGTATATGCATTAAAATGTTACATTGTATCCCTTGAAAATGTGTAAGTATTACACATTCAACACATTTAAGTGTTAACTTAAAAAAATTTTTAAAAGATGACATGGAATGGTACTTCATAATGAAGCACATTATAAATTTTGCAACAGAATACATTAATATTCACATAGACCACAAAACGTCCTCCTGCGAATTCAGATTCAGTTTTGCGGCCAAGTGAATCGGGTCCACTATTGTTGACAGGTGACTTTGAGAACATTTTGTTGGCAGAGCTTTCTGGATATGGAGACTGTGAGACAGGGATTCTGAGCCTGTGTCTGTTCTCAGTTCCGCACTCAGGCTGGGTCCCTTAAATCACGATGCAGGGTGATCTCGAGGTCTCTCCACGAGTTTCATTCTGTGTTGCCCTCTTTTCACAGGTTGACAGCAGCGCATGTGGCCACTGGACAGCATGAAGGGTGGAGGCAGCTGAGACCAGGCAGATGGAGCGGACAGAAGCCAGGCTAGCATAGAACCTACGTACATCTTTCCGTGTAGTCTGATCATATCTAGGCTACTTATAATACCTAGTGCAGTGTAAATGCCATATCATCGTTGTGATATCCTATTGTTTAGAGAATAATGGCCAGAAAGATCATCTATACGTGTTCAGCATAGATGGAATTTTTAAAATATTTCTGATCTGTGATTGATTGTGGACGTGAACCCTGCTGCTACGGAGGGCCGGTCGTGCTTGTCTAAAGCGTAAAGGACATCAGCTGAAACACGAAGTCCCTTATTGTCCTCACAGTAAGTAGCATCATATTTTTTTTCAGATAATTTTCTATACTTATAAATACCGACTGGGTGAAATGACTCTCCCTAGAATGAGACTGCTGCTTGCTTTTGCACACAACCATGTGTTTCAAAGAACTTTTCACATGTGTACTACACACAGCGCACCCTAAACCCCACAGAGCACTTCATTGGAAGTGTGTGACATAATTCATCAACTGTTTATGAACAACATGTGGGCCACTCTCGACTTCTCAGTACCGTATCACAAATAATGTGGCAACGAACATCCGCCTAGAAGTTTTCTAAGGACTATTTAATCTACAGCTATTTAATCTACAGCTAGAATTGTTGGGCCAAAGTAATGCATACTTAAAACATACATCTTTACTTGCTCATTTGAAAGGCAAACGGAGAGAGAGAGAGAGAGAGAGAGAGAGAGAGAGAGAGAGAGAGAGAAGAGAGAGTTTAATCTACTTTTCCAAATAACCACAACAGCTGAGACTGGGCAAGCCAAAGCCAGGAGCCACGCACTCCAACCAGGCGTCCCACACAAACAGCAAGGACTCAAGTATTTGAGGAATTACCTACTGCCTTCCCAAGGGCATTAGCAGGGAGCTGGATGGTAAGTGGAACAGCTGGCCTCAAACAGCCACTCCAATATGGAAAACAGGCAACCCAAGTAGGTCCACCATGCTGGCCTCAAAGTAATGCAAACTTTTAATAGATAATAATAAATTGCTCCTAGTGTCACCAATGGTCACTATTCCTTGTCTTATCACTTTGATTGCTGGAATTCCTATTATTATCTCTATCTGCAGTGACTTTTAGTGAGTTGAGCATTCTTCCTACTCTATGGACTATTTTGTAAACTGTCTTAACATCTTTTACTCATTTTTCTCGTTGTTTATCTTTTTCTTGATCTGTAAGAACACTTTTTACGTTAGTAATAACTTCTCTTTGACTTATATATCAATTTGTTGTTGCCTTTTGATTTTCTGAGTTCTTTTGCCCTACATAATAAATTTAAAATATGTGATGTCCCCAAAACTTGCCAGTTGCAGCAGTGGAAAACTTGGTAGAGTCTTTGATTCTGTCCTCTTTTATTTTCCCCCACCTCAGAATAGTAGTCAAGTCTTGTCAATTTTGTAGAAAACATGTATTTCCTGAGTGTTCTTTCCTTTTTGTCCTCACTGATGCCTTTCAAGTTGAAGAACCGATTTCTTCCCACTTTATTTAATTCAATAATCTCTGTTTCCCGTCTTATCCTGCTTGACACACTGCTATCCTATCTGAAACACATACCTCAGCTGTTAAAGATTAATTTATTTACTTGAAAGGCAAAGTTACAGAGAGAGAGAGAAGGAGAGATCTTGCATCTGTTGGTTCACTTTCCCAATGGCCAAGGCTGGGTCAGCCCAAAGCCAGGAGCCTGAAATTCCTTCTGGGTCTCCCATGTGGGTAGCAGGGCCCCAAGCACTTGTTCCATCATCTGCTGTTTTCCCAGGTGCATTAGCCGGGACCTGGAACAGCTGGGATTCTACTGGCGCCCATAGGAATGCCAGGGTCCTTAACCCTAACAGGCTTAACCTGCTGTGTTAAAATTCCGGCCCTCTACTCAAACAGGTTCAATGGTTGGCACAACACCTACAGCTCACATGTGCATTTAGGGCATTGGGAGGGCCTGAATGCTGGTATTGTCGCCAAATGCATCTGCTGAAATTGAACCCCCAGTGTGATAAAGTGCGTGCGAGGGCTCCACACTTACAGGTAGCATTTGTGACTTCAGGAAAGAGACAGACAGCAGCACATTTGCTCCTCCCACCACGGGAGGGTACTTCAAAAAGCTCATGGAAAATGGAGTTAAAATTTCCTTTTTGTGCAAAAAAAAAAAAATTTGAAATCCAGTATATGAGTAGTCTTCACAAAGTTCATGAAAATCCATAGTGTGGGGAAAAAAACTATGCATGGATTTAAAAAATGTTTGCCCCAAAACAAGCTTGCCCTGTAATTGCATTTTTCCACAAACTTTTTTCGAAGGACCCTCGTCAAAGGGTCTCTGTGAGAAACCAGCCCTCGTGAAATACCAACCCTGTAAGCACCTTGGCCTTGGATTTCCTGTCTGCAGAACCGGGAGCCATCAGTTTCGGTCACTTCTAAATTTCTCAGTCGAAGGCATTTTATTACAGGCAGGCTAAGCGAAGACAGGCCCTCGACCTCTGCCCCCAAGCCACCTCTCCAACCTCACTTTACATCAGCCACCAGGTAGTCACGAGCTGCCTTTTGATGTCTGACAATAGCAAGTTAAAACACACACACACACACACACACACACACAGAGCAAACTCCAAATTTACTTTGTGGGGAATGAAATCTACACCTAGCAAGAGGTTCTGAAGTGTGTTCCCTGTGTTGCTTTGCAGTTAGTTCTCTGGCCGAAGATTCTCCCTTGCTAATGAGCTGTCGGGATTTGGCGTCCACGCTGATCTGCTCACAGGTTGTTTTGCTTTATAATTACCTGTTACCTGTCTCTCATGGTTAATATTACGGTCGCGCGGGGTGGTTGTGGGGGCTCCAGTAAATGACACCCTTCCCTCCACCTGAGTTCTGAACCAAAGGTAGGATCACAAAGACACTTCCTTATTGGACAAACCGGTTCTGAAGAGGGCGGCTTTGTCGGGCGACAAGGGCGACAAGGACGACAAGGAGAACCTTCTTCCCCTCCAGGCAGGTGCGGGGTGGGGCCACGCAGGGCTTCCTTCTCCAGACCTGCGCCTGCACAACAGGCTCCTGTCTGCCTCCTGCTGGCCACTGTGCCCCACAGCAAAGAGGGCGAGAGGACCCAGGGCTTTAGCAACACTGCTGTCTGTTCCTCGCTGACAAGGTGCTTCTGGGTCACACACCTCTGTGAGCCTAAAGGTGTTCAAGGGAAAAAGAAATCACCTTCCAGAAACCAAAGAAGTGTTCCCTGACCCCTCGACATCCTCTGATACACATGTACACGTCTTGAAGCCAGGGTCTCTATTTTCAACCTCACTCTATCTTAGAATCATACCAAACTTGCTAGATCTTTGCTCTTTCTGAAATTCACAAGGAAATTGTATTCATTTTGCTTTCCAAGCGTGTGCTTTGGCCACCCAAGCTGCTTCCTGTAATGCCAACCATCTGGGCATGCAGTAAGTTGGTGGCTGAGAGCCGTTGTTTTCCATTTTCGTTAGGGTATTTGGTGCCAAGTAGATACAGCCTGAGTGGGTCTCTTTGAAGTGTCTTCATATTGATGCATCACCTCCTCACAGCACGTGGCTCCAACTTCAGACGCGTGCGTCTCCTTGGAGGGCTCTCCATGGAAAAACTCAGGGCTCGTGACCAAACACCGTTCAGTGGACTTGAGTAACTGAGTGTGGATGGGTGAAATATTGAAGTAAACTTTGGAACTGAAACGTGTGGGTGATACCATATATGCATGGACTCTGGTGCGTGTGTGTGTATTAGGCAGCACATTATTTGGTTAACAGTCAACACTCCTGAAGGAACGGGGTTTCTCTCTCTTTCCACTTTCTCCCTGTCACCACATATGCGTGTGTGTGTGTGTGTGTGTGTCGCTCTAGATGGAACTTGTTTTGGGCAGAAATAAATCTATATATTTATTTCAAGTATAACGATGTCCTTAAGATTGCTCCCAGGACTTGATTTACACGTTGTCCTGTTGCCAAGAAGGACTGTGTGTGTGTGTGCGTGTGTGTGTGTGTGTGTGTGGGTGGGTGGGTGTGGGTGCTGCCATAACAGAATACCTGAGACTGGATACTTTACAACAGTATTTGTTTCTTAGAGTTCTGGAGTTTGGGAAGTCCAAGGTGGAAGGGCTTTTTGGCTGCGCCACCTCATGGTGGCAGAAGGTAGGGCAAGAAAGCCTGCCACAGGTGCCTGGGCAGGAGGAAAGAGGAGGAGAGACGCAGGGGTGGGGGGAGGGAGAGCAACCGCACTCCGGCTGTAGCTGCCCGCACTTCTGTGGTATCAGCACTCATGTTCCCCCGACATCACCACATAGTAAAGGTCCCACCTCTCCACGCTGTTGCACTGCGAATGGAGTTCAGGATAAACAGTCACACCATAGCAGGGGCTTTGCAGTTGAATCTGGAACTTTGTGTAAAATGCTGCTGTGGCTACCAGGACTCCCGCACCGCTGGGAGACGGAGATAGCCAACAAGCCCCGTGGCGGGAACCCCGAGTAGCCAGGAGATGTTGTCCAAGGTGTGGGACTGCTCACGCGTGTGTGTGTGTGCGCCGAGAGCAGGTGACTCCTTAGGTAGGGAGAGGGCTACACACACCTGTGGCTCCTGCCAGCCTCGATGTGGTGCTGATGAAATCCTGGAGTGGTATCCTGTGGACAAACACCTTGGCAATTTTGATGAGGACTCTGGGTGATGACGGACATGGCAACCCAAAGGAATAAAACCACCAAGACGCTGATGAGAAGGCTGTAAGAGCCACTCATACCCTAAACCCAAAACTAGAGTGGAGGGACCAGACATGGTGCAGTGTGAAGGAAACATCTTTTCCCAAGGGTTTTGGCACCTCAGTGCTTCCCGCATATGGCACTGTCCACTGGACATGGGGATGTGAGTCTCCTTTAGGTGCCAACTGGAAGAAGAGGGCTGAGGCAATGCTTACTTTCTGCTTTAAAAACCATCACCAGGCCGGCGCCTTGGTTCACTAGGCTAATCCTCCGCCTGTGGCGCCAGCACACTGGGTTCTAGTCCTGGTCGGGGCGCCGGATTCTGTCCCAGTTGCCCCTCTTCCAGGCCAGCTCTCTGCTGTATCCCAGGAAGGCAGTGGAGGATGGCCCAAGTGCTTAGGCCCTGCACCCCATGGGAGACCAGGAGAAGCACCTGGCTCCTGGCTTCGGATCAGCGCCATGCGCCAGCCACACCGCGCTGGCCGCAGCGGCCACTGGGGGGTAAACCAAGGGAAAGGAAGACTTTTCTCTCTGTCTCTCTCTCTCTCACTGTCCACTCTGCCTGTCAAAAAAAAAAAAATCACCAAGAGGGCATGCATTTAGCCTAGCACGTAAGAGACTTGAGTCCCATCTCAGAGCACCTGGGAGGCACAGGGACGGCGCGAGTAATCGGGTTCCTGCCACACAGGTGGGAGCCCTGAACTGAATTTTTAGCTTCTCCCTTCAACTTTGGCCCAGCGCCAGCCATTGCAGGCATTTGGAGAATGAACAAGCCACTGGAAAGTACTCCGTCTATATCATTCTCTGTCAACTAATAAACAACACAAAAAAATGGATAAAGATTTATTTATTTATTTGAGAGGCAGAGTTACAGAGAGAGAGGAGAGAATTTCCATCCTCTGGGTTGCTCCCCAAATGGCCACAATGGTGGAGCTGGTCCCATCTGAAGCCAGGAGCCAGGGGCTTCTCCTGGGTGTCCCACACGGGTGCCGGGGCTCAGGCACCCGGGGCCATCCTCCACTGCTTTCCCAGGCCACAGGCCGACAAGAGCTGGTTCTGAACAGGAGCAGCCAGGACTCGAACCGGTGCCCATATGGGACGAAGCACCACAGGCGGAAGCTTAACCTACTACGCCACAGTGCCAGCCCCATAGACAAAAATGTTAAGAAAAAGGCATCACTGGCAACAAAAATCCAAACCAAACATCTCCCATAGATGGAAGGAATATTCAGTGTGTTATATCTGAATGTATAGGACGGAGTCCCCACATCTCTGAGTGGAAATGTAAGGTTCGTGAGCTCCTATCGCATTTTCTTCGTGTCTCTCTAATGTTTTTCAAATAAACTAATTAATTTGTCTTTTAGGAGGCAGGGAGGATTAAGTTCCTCCTGCAGTACCTGTATTCATTCTAAGTGTGCTTGGATTTTTCACAATTTGTTTTCTCTATTTGAAAGCCAAAATTAGAGGAGAAAGAACAGTCATGGCTGGTTCACTCCCCAAATGTCTCCAATGGCCAGGCCTGACCAAAGCCAGGAGCCAGGAACTCTGTCTGGGTATCTCACGTAGGTGGCAGAGGCCCAGGATGAGGCCATCTTCCGCGACTGCTTTCCCAGGCACGATAGTAGCGATTCGGATCATAAGCGGAGCAGCTGGGACTCGAACCAGTGCTCCCATGGGGTGCCTGTGTCCCAGGCGGTGGCTTAACCTGCTGCACCAGGAGCATGCTTATTTTATATTCTCTTTCAGCTTGGCGTTCTAGTGCCTCCCACCCTTAGAAGGCAGGAAATGATGCTGGTGAACCCTGCAGTCCACAGTATCTTCTGACCGTGACTTGTGACCAATTGCTTCCTTCAGTGTTCTGCAATTTCTTTTATTGTGAGCTCATCTTTCGTGGGCCTGCCTTGCTCCTATCTGGATCGTGGAATGTCTCTCTAGAGTGTTTCCATAATGGCTTCTGCCAACCATTCCAAAATATTATTAGCGGGGGACCAGTTTTTACATTAATTTCTCAGCTTGGGAAGTTTCTGGATCATTTTAGTAGGGTAATTTTAAAAATCAAATTCATGTGTAAACCAGGCCCAGGCTGTCAGTTTTTTCAAGAAAGACTTGTTTTTTTTTTTAACATAAAGAGAGGCAAATGAATGGCCATGTCAGCTTGCTGTGCTGGGTAGATTTTCCTGGTTCACACATTTCTTAATGGCTCATGCTCACAAGGCCTTGGCTTTCTCTACAAGTCTCATTCTCGACTCGTCTTGCGCGTGCTCAGGGCCGTATCTCCTGGCCATTCCAACCTGAAGTCTAAGGGTTATGAAGAGCTGTGGCTCACTCACTTTTCAAGGGCAAATGGAGCATCAGCTCACTGGCGAACTTGGCTCCACCTTCCTTCCTTCTGTAAATTCCCCTTTAAAGTTGTGCTGCACAGGGGTCGTCTGTTTGTTTTCTCTTGGAATCCTAGGCACGTCCAGAGGGAGGCTTTGCAGGTGAAGTCAGCTTGCCATGCTATCAGAACCAGAGGACTTTCACAGATGCTCTGTGCTCCTCCCCGCATAGGGCTTTGTGACCTCATGCTAAGATTAGTGCAGTAGTCCCCCAAGAGCCCCATGCCCCACCGATGTGCATTCCTCTGAGCAGCCTGAGATACCGTCTCAGCCACCTCTTTCTTTTCCTTCCCCCCCACCCCCAGGCAGAGTTAGACAGTGAGAGAGAGATAGAGAGGTCTTCCTTCTGTTGGTTCACCCCCCAAAGGCTGCTACGGCCGGAGCTACACTGATCCGAAGCCAGGAGCCAGGTGCTTCCTCCTGGTCTCCCATGTGGGTGCAGGGCCCAAGCACTTGGGCCATCCTCCACTGCACTCCCGGGCCACAGCAGAGAGCTGGACTGGAAGAGGACCGACCGGGACAGAATCAGCGCCCCGACCGGGACTAGAACCTGGGGTGCCGGTGCCACAGGCAGAGGATTAGCCTAGTGAGCCGCGGCGCCGACCTCAGCCGCCTCTTTCTAAAATGTCACTTTCACCATATGATTCCCTGACTTAACCTTGGTGGCCCCTATGTTGCCGAGAACGACGTCTAAATTCCCTGTCCTTTCATTTGAGGGCGAGTATAAGCCGGTGCCGCGGCTCACTAGGCTAATCCTCCGCCTTGCGGCGCCGGCACCCCGGGTTCTAGTCCCGGTCGGGGCGCCGGATTCTGTCCCGGTTGCCCCTCTTCCAGGCCAGCTCTCTGCTGTGGCCCGGGAGTGCAGTGGAGGATGGCCCAGGTGCTTGGGCCCTGCACCCCATGGGGGACCAGGAGGAGGCACCTGGCTCCTGCCATCGGATTGGCGCGCGCCGGCCGCGGCGGCCATTGGAGGGTGAACCAACGGCAAAGGAAGACCTTTCTCTCTGTCTCTCTCTCTCACTGTCCACTCTGCCTGTCCAAAAAAAAAAAAAAAATTGAGGGCGAGTATAATCTGGCCTTCAACTACATACATTTTGTATTAGTTTCATTGAAGATATTGATGTTTCCCTATTGAACGTTCTTGTTAACAAATGTGGCAAGAAATATTGGGCAAATAAACTATCAGATCACTATGTATAGGACCAGTGGTTTTATATATATATATATATAAATCAATCAATATATATCAATATATATCAATATATATAAAATATATATTCATATATATAGATGATATTGATATATATCAATATATAAAAAATATATATCAATATATAATCAATATATTTATTATATTTTATATATTTTATATATTGTATATTATAATTTATTAATGTATATAATATATATAATAATATATATGATAATAATATATATAATATATACAATATAATATATATTATTATATAATTTATTATATAATATATTATATATAATATATTATTAATATAATATTAATATATTATTATAATTATTAATATTATTAATGTATTATATATAATATTATATATAATATACAATATATAATATTGTATATATTATATAATATATATTATGTATATAATTATATTGTATAATATATTAATATGATATGTAATATATATTAATATATCATGTAATATATTAATTTATTATATATTATAATATTGATATATATTTTATATATAAAATCGATGTATATATTGATTTGAGGATGGGTATCTCAATCCTTATATTACCCCAAATCTTAGCCCATGTCCTAATCTCTACAGGTCCTCAAAACCTGTTTCTAGATTTAACTATGGAGCTTGCATTGGTGATGGACTTCGAGTCCTAGCGGCAATCTAAGGGGGCAGAGCTTTATCATGAATGGTGTATGGAGCTTGTGTGTTTTCTACAGTGTGCAACGGGCTAAATGATGTGGAAGAGATCGGCCTACAGAATGTGACGCAATGGACGCCTTACTGTGAGTAGTAATTATCTTATACATTTTTTTTACAATGACTGAGTTTTCAAAGCATTTTTGTAACTCTGCTCTAATTTGATCTTTACAACTACCTATGACGTAGGCAAAGAAAAGTGAGACATGGAAAGAAAACCAGAAAAGTAGCCATTTATTCTCTCAACAAACACTTATAATCCATTATATCCCAGCTATGGGGTAAGGCTGAGGACAAAACAGTGGACCCAAGGGACCAAGCCACTTCTCTCATGGGCCCAGCGTGAGAACTTGGCAGTTCTGTGACTTACCCAAGGCTACCTTTACCCTCTAGTGAGCTTGAAATGAAAGCCCAGGTCTTACAACTTCGGCTCCATCAACCCCCCACTGCTGTCAGCACTAGTGACAAACTTGACCTGAAGTAGCACGTGGGTCCCACCTTAATGATATTGGCTCTCTTAGAGCCAGGGTTGCTGTCCCCTTCCTTCCTTCTTTGGCTGACCGCGTAAATAAACTGCATTTCCCAGTCTCCCCACTGTTAGGGCAGTCGTGTGACTGATGTTTGCTACTCCCGGCCTGGACCACAGAAACACTCCTTGTGCTGTTGTCTCTTGTGTCTCCCCATTAACTGCTGAATGCAGAGGACTACAAGGACAGGGGAAGCAAACAGCCACGAAATAGAGGAGAGTCAGATTTCCTGAATGAGAGGCAGCTGTCAATCAGGACGACCTCACGTGACTTCATGTGGGCAAGAAATGAACTTCTTGTGTCTGAAGCCATTAAGATTTGGGAAGCTGTTCGTTAAGGCAGATAAATAACATGTAACTTTACATTTAAAACATAAAATAGGATTGCAAGAGAGATGATCAGCTGATATAATTTTATTCTTAATGGATTAAATGGTGTCCCCAAGGTTCTTTATTGCTAAGTTGGATGTAGAAATTAATACTGTCATCAGAGTTAAAGGAGATACCAGCATTCTAGGACAATGGAAATATGGAATTCAACAATGTCATAGACCCAGTGTATCTTCATATTAGTAAGGAATTGATGAGGAATTTTGAATAAAACAATGAAGTCAGGGTACCGCTCCATGAATTCAAAGCTGCTTGAACCATCAGACCCCAAAGGATTAGTGGACATATTTAAGTATGCAGAAGGTTTGCAACTGAGCTGTTGGGCTATTGGCTCGGCCTTGTTTTGATCAACACTTTTATCAGTGGCTTTCATGAGGATGTGGGAGATATGCTGATCAAAAGTGCTATTAACGCAGTCTGGAGGGGACATGAAAACAGATACGAGAGAGTTGACAGAACCAAGATTCAAAATTATCTTGACACGCTATGGTGCTGGGCCAAAACTAACAACATGGTATGTAATGAGGATAAATGCAAACTCTTTTTTTTTTTTTTTTGGCCCAGAAATAAATTATAGGAATACGGGATGGAGAACATGTAACTTGGCAGTGGTTGATATAAAAACTCCCTGGGGATCTTACTTGACCAAAAGTTCAATTGGAGCCAACAGTGTGATATGGCTCCACACACTTAGACTACGTTAATGGAGGTATTATGCGATGACTGTGAGAAGCACCAAGCTCAGTACTCCCCAGATGGAATCTGCAGAGTTAGTTCTACATTCTGCATGTGCTGGAACAGCGACAAACTAGAGACTACACAGAGGTGACGAGGATGGTGGTGGATAACGATGCGTCTGCCTCTGTGTGTAGCACATACTGTTGGTAACCTTTCTTGTGCTTGTGTCACGCCCCCCAGCTTTGCACCTTAGCCTGCCTCCTGCACGAGACTGCACACTCTGTCAACACATTGACAAGAATGACACCACCAGCAATGGCTCAAGGTGGCATTTATTGTCTGGGCAAGGTCCAGGCTCTGCTCTGAATGCTATACATGTATTATTCTATGTAACCTTCACGGAACTCTGGTGAAATGGATTTTACAAGGGTAATTCAAAAAGTTCATAGACAAATCGAATGAAAGAATTCTATTTTGTTGCCAATAAAATTGAAATCCATGAATAGTTTTTCCTAATACGCATTTTCCATGAAGTGTTTGAAGACCCGTCACACTAATGTCCCCATTACGTGGAAGTACTGAAGGACTGCAAGGTTAAGTGCCATAGTCAACCATGCAACAGTGCAAAAATTCAGGCCATCTGACTGTAGGACTGGTGGTACCCTTAGCCCAGATGAGGACTGTGTATCAGGCTCAGAAACTTGCCAACCTCAAGCACTCAATTCATGTTCAGCAATTTTGATGGTGGTTGGGGGAGTGACACAGAAAAACAAGTTCTAGAAAGAATCAGAGAAGAGAAGAGCTGCTCCCTGAGTAGGGGGGGGGGGCTTGCCTAGTGCTCACTGTGCAGCTGATGAGGCACACGCACGGGGTGTCGACATAACTGGGCACCTACGCCTGCATTCTCATCACTAATCTGAGACTTCTACAGTTTTTCATCCTCAAAAGCATTCTTTTCTATTTATTTATTGACTGATTGATTGACAGGCAGAGTGGACAGTGAGAGAGACAAAGAGAAAGGTCTTCCTTTGCCGTTGGTTCAACCCCTAATGGCTGCTGCGACCGGCGCACTGTGGCCGGCGCACCACGCTGTTCCGAAGCCAGGAGCCAGGTGCTTCTCCTGGTCTCCCATGCGGGTGCAGGGCCCAAGCACTTGGGCCATCTTCCACTGCACTCCCGGGCCACAGCAGAGAGCTGGCCTGGAAGAGGGGCAACCGGGACAGAATCTGGTGCCCAGACCAGGACTAGACCCTGGGGTGCCAGTGCCGCAGGCAGAGGATTAGCCTATTGAACCGTGGCGCTGGCCCCTCAAAAGCATTCTTAAAGTCCTTGCTGTCCTGTGTATTTCAAATTGCCTTGTGAATTAAGTGTGGACTGTTTAGAGATGAGGAAACCAGGCTAGAAAGGATCTGTTTATTCATTACTCATGTATTTAAACTCAACAAGCATTTATTAAGTGTCTATCACGATTCAGGCGTTAAAGCAAGAACATGAGAACTTGGTAAGGTGGTGTTATTATCGCCACTTCACAGATAAAGAAATGGAAGTCCCCAAGACTGCTCTGGCACCAGCACTATGAGATAGCAATGTTGATTTTGATACAGATACACACACATGTAAGTGTATGGCTGGATTTCACACTACATATTTTTCTTTCAAATGGAAGAATTTAAATGGTTGTTTCCTTACTGATTCACTGTTAAATTTCAAAAGTCTATGTGTTGGAAAGGAGTTGAAATTGTACCTAATTTGTAGTTGAACAACTAGTAATTGAGATCCTGGTTCTTACTATAAGATAGGCTATGCCAAAAAAATGATGCCAAAGGTCATTATGAAGAGTGGGGATAAAAATAGAAATCAACATCTAGAAAATGAGCTCACCCTTGGAGAATGCTTTGAGATCTCGGGGGAAATGTGGTTGAGATGGGGGGAGCATCCCAATATACTTCTGCTCTGTGGGCTCCAGACATTCCACACTCCCAGCCCCCTCGCCATGGAAAGTTTTGGAATATGTTGGAATCCCTGTGGGCTACAGTGCCTGGGAGCAGTAGGGGGCTGGTTGGTACCTGTTTGAGGTCTCTCACATGGTTCAATAGTCCCTACGGCTGGGAAGTGAAGACACTACTAGGAAAGAGGGGGGCTTGGCACTGCCAGCCCTGGAGAGACGCCATCAGCTTGGTGATGGAGGAGCAACGGAGATTTCTCTGTCCTTCTAACAAATACCCCCCATCTCGGCATGACCTGCAGCAGAGGCTGTCCAAATGCACCCCTCAGTCCTGTCTCTGCTGAGAGGTGGAGACAGCGGGCGGCTGCCCCTTGCTTCCTGCAGTGGGCATCCTCTCCCCAGCAGTCCTCCGTCTCCTCAAGGTTAGCTCTGCTTAGAATTGGTGGCACCCAGGCAGGGAAGGGAGATGGAGGCTTGATAGTGGACAGTGAGGGCCAGTATGGGTCTTCCCACCCTCCCTGCCTGCCTCTGCGCCTAAGACACAGGGCCAGCTCCTTGCTTGATACCAGCTGGAAAAGTCACATCAGGTACCTCCTCTCAAGCAGAGCGGGTATGCCTTTCGGAAAAGAAAGTTTGTTTCTCTTCTGGGGAGGCCTTAGGAACTTCTACTTTGCCCAGCCTGTCTCCGAGAAGGGGGAGGGGCTTGGGGACCATCTCCATGGCCCTGGCTGGGTTCTTGCTTGGTGAACCATCTCCAACTTTCATTGCCAAAGCATGTTTTGCTTCTAGCAAGGGGAGGAGCAGATAGGAGAGGAAATAAAAGCACAAAAATGAAAAAGAATTCCTGAAGGTCTGATAAGCAGCTCAACTATGCACCAAAACATAAATATTTGGCCAAATTAGTTTCTCCAAATGCCTCATATTTCTAAAAATGAACTGCAGTTCTGTTGTACTTTGAAGTTGCTCAGCTCTTAGCAATCCTGAGATCTTCAGATCTTTATGGGGTTGGTGGCTGACGTTCATTTCCTTCTGCAGGCTAGAAAGCACTTGGCTTCTCTTCCCTGATGCCTGGTGTGGATGCTGTTGGGTCAGCACCCCTTGCCAGTGGAGATGTGCTCTCCCAGCTGCGACTGTCACCCTTCTTGTCAATGAAGGGTCATGGAGCAGCATGTGCTGGGAGATACTCACTTGAAACTGATCAGAAAAGCGGTCCTGACGTCAAGGGACAACATGGTAACAATTGGAAGAGCTTCCGGGGCTTTATTATGGGTTCCAGGACTGGCCACACTTCATGCATGGAACAGAGTGCTCCAACAGGCTGAGTGAAGGAGACTGGTTTATAGACAGATCAGAGCTGAAGAAAGCGGAAACAAAGAATGGCAGGTGGGGGTCGATCATGTCAAAGTTACTTCTCTTGCAAGAGGTGAGTGGGGAGACAGAACAATAGAAAAACAAGGAACTGGTAGGCATCAGGCTCCTGCAGGGGCAACTTTCCTGTTCAGGTTACTTTCGTGTGAGGATTAAGGCAGGAGCAGCTTCATTACCCACCAGCAGAAACTGGCTTGTTCAGGAACTTTGTTACCTCGCTCATCCCGATTTCTTGGAAGCTCCGATAAACAGCTGGGTTTCAGCTTGGTGATGTGGAAGTTGAGCATGAATGACTTTTTACTTTTATTTGTTGACTTGGTTACTTATGTTTTTAAAGATCCTCTTTAAAGATTTTATTTAAAACATTTTTAAGATTTATTTTTATTTATTTATTTTGAGAGAGAGAGGTCTGCCATGCACTGGTTCACTCCCCCAGTGTCTGCAGCACGAGGGCTGGGCCAGGCCTCGTTCAGGAGCCTGGGATTCAATCCAAGTCTCCCACGTGGGTGGCAGGGATCCAAGTATTTGCGCCATCATCCACTCCCTCCCAGGATGCACGTTAGCAGGAAGCTGGAATCAGAAGCAAAGCCAGGACTCACACCCTGGCGCTTCAACATGGGAAGTGGGTCCCCCACGTGCTGTACCACACGCTTGCCCCTCCCCCCACCTTTTTAATCTTTAATCTGCTGTGTTGGAGCCCAGTATAGGATCTTACCCAAAGTGATAGTCTCCTGTGATTTTTATTTAGCAATGGTTATACAAACAGCTTCATCTTAATATAACACATTAACAGTGATATATTCTGAATTCTGTTCACTTTTTGTTGAATTCACCTTTTGAGATTTGCATGTTTTTTAATTCATGGTGTTTCTCAAAAATCCAGGACTTCAGCGTAGTTCATCGGCACGATAATATGGCAGAACTCACTTTTCTGTTCCCCTGGGCAGAAGAATTAACGTCTATAAAGCTGACGGCTGTGTTCCTATGATTCTCAAGCAGTTGGTTCATTTCCTCACTGCGTTCTTCTAATAAATGCCATGAAAAACAGACCATCAGACTTGTTGTTTCCTGCCATTTTTGAATCCGTGAGATGTGTCAAGGTCTAGAACACAGTGGAGCCTTTTTTTTTTTTTCCCTGCAGTAACCATGATGCAGGGGACGGTCAAGGAGAAAAGGGGGAATTGCAGGGGTCTGGAGTCAGCCCTTGGCCGACGTGAAGCCTCCTCCCAGAGCACCTCGCTGCACTTCAGTCATGAGGATGGCTTTGACTGAAGCAGACGATGGGTGCTGTTGTACAGAACCGTCCCTTTTCTAGGCAAGAGAAACTGAGGAAGTCAAGTCAAGCTTGCTCTCAGGCCTTGAAAACCTTTGGCTCTATTCCCAGGGAGCAAGGCCAGGGGGATGCCTCAAATGTCTCTGATGGGGTTTAGCAGGCAGCTGGAAATTCATGGGTCAGCTATGGAACGGAGAACACCAGAGGCCTTGCCTCTTTAGAGTTGGTTTTAAATATTCATTCTTTTATATCAAGAGATATTCATGCGTGTGTGTGTGTGTGTGTGTGTGTGCACGAGAGGCAGGGGGAGAGAGGGAGGGAGGGAGGAAAAAGACTGATGAGGGTGCACCATTTCATCATTTCCTATATGAAAGGTAGGACCTACTGAGTGCACAGGAGGCTGACTGGTGTAAACAGGCATTACCTGCGTCCGTATAAGCAGATGAAAATCGAAGTCAGCACGCCACAGCTCTGTCAGACAACCTTCTTCACCGAGCATTAGCCCGGGTTCTGTCCAGTCACTGATGATCACCCACAGGTGCCGTCCCTAGAGCCGGCTCTGCCTTGCCTTGACCATGTGCTTTGCTCCTGCCCTGCCTTGGAAAGCCTTGGGAGGCCTTTTTCTTTTTGCCCTTGAAAGGGAAGGGGAAATGCCTCCCAGTGCAGGCCACCTTTGGAGGGTGACCCACCTTCCTCTGGGCCCCCACCTGACTTTATTTGTACCCTTTTGTGATTCTCACCATGCCACATTCCCAGCAATTTATGTCCACCTGCCAGCCTTTCTATTGACCTTAGCTCTTCTGCTGGCTGTTGAGTTCATGTCCAAGATTTGCAATATATATATATATATATAGTGTCATTTTTAGCACAGCACCTTGCAGTTTATATGTGTACGATGTGTGTTTAATTAATAACATAAATGCATCCAAAGCCAGATCTCTTGATGGCAGCAGCCTGTAACCTAAGCGTGCTGACCAGATAAGTGAAAGTTAAAGCTCTAAAATTAAATTAGTGCTCTAAATTAGTTAAATCAATACCTCCCTTATTTTCTCCATCACAGCTCACTGTCAAACATTTTACATGTGAGCAGAATCAAGTAGAATCAAGTAGTTTAAAGAAAACTTTTTTTTTTCCTTTTCTTCTATCTTTAGGGCAGATGAAACTCTGCTGGATAAAAGGAAAAATATCTGGGTGGCAGAAATAGTGGGCGGGGCAGGTTAAGCCTGCATTCCGCTACTGGATTTAGTTGGAAATACCAGACTGTTTTTCAGAACCCTGGATTAAACCGCCTCCCTCATACTGTATTCAGGGGTGCCTTGCTGGAAGAATGTGAAGCGGGAAGATTTGGGAGCTGAGAGCTAAGGCGAACAAAAGCTAACTATTTAAAATCAAAACATCTGCTAGAGGGGTGCCTTTTAGTTAAATTCCAAGGGGCAATTGCCACTCACCTCTCACCCCTTAGACTAAGAGCTATCTTCTCTGATCAAATTCGCCTGGTTACATTAGAAAGGGGGAAGAGGCTGGAATCCTTTCGCCATCCTGTAGAAAGAGCAACTTAGCATAAGCTGTAGCTTCTTCTAATGTCCTAGAAGTTCTGCCTGTTACCTCCTGATTGCTCCGTATAATAACTGCTGTGCTGTGAAAATGCAGGGAACTCTGTCCTTGTGCTCCGCATTCAAGAGCTTTGGAGACATTGTGTTGTGATGGTGGTGGTATTGATGTCTCAGCTGGCGGTGAGTGCAGCATTTGTCACAGTTGGGCGAGTTTCTGTTGGTGCAGGACAACAGGGGAGCACCTGTGGAGTCAATCATTCTCAGTAGCTAAAGTGTGCTGGGGTTGCGGTATTTTCTTACGGCACCAACTTTAGAAACTTGGGAGATCTAGGATCCTGATGGTTCCTGACTCTGAGCAGCCTAGGGAGGGAGGAGTTCAAAGACAGGAGAATGTTGACACCCAACGATCACCCTCTGATCTGTGAGTCCCTCCTCCACGTTTCTGCCCGTCAATGACCCCACTAGTGCCAAGTCTTCCAGCGAAATGAAACTCACAACTTAGCATCCTTTCCAAACATCTGGTCTTTCCTTGATCTTCTCGATCAGGAGATTCGTTTTATGAATGCCATTTGCTGCCTAGGCATTTGTTGTTGTTGCTATTTTCCGCTCACTGTGGGGTTTGGTATTCTCAGTGTTTTCTCCACAAGCTAGAGTCTGTCCAGGACACAAAATCTCTACTGGGTCTCAAGGTAAACAGCAATTAACAAGGTAATGAAAAGGGTAAAAGGAAAACTCTAAGGTAATGTGGAGGAAGCAACTTTGGGAAATAGCTACCATTTCTAGAATTGAGAGGCCGGTGCCGCGGCTCACTAGGCTAATCCTCCGCCTGTGGTGCCGGCACCCCGGGTTCTAGTCCCGGTCAGGGCGCCGGATTCTGTCCCAGTCGCTGCTCTTCCAGTCCAGTTCTCTGCTGTGGCCCGGGAGTGCAGTGGAGGATGGCCCAAGTGCTTGGGCCCTGCACCCGCATGGGAGACCAGGAGAAGCACTAGGCTCCTGGCTTCAGATCGGCGCAGCGTGCCAGCAGCAGCGGCCATTGGAGGATGCACCAATGGAAAAGGAAGACCTTTCTCTCTGTCTCTCTCTCTCACACTGTCCACTCTGCCTGTCAAAAAGAATTGAGAGAACAAAGGGAAGAGGCTGGGGTTTTTCAGTCGTGAGCTGGATTTCTGAGGAGGAGAAGGACCAGCTGTCTGGGGGCCTGGGTGGGAGGTTGATAAGGCGAATGTTGGCAACACTGGAAACTCCATGCTGCTTCAGGAAGGAAGTGCTGTTGCTGGGGCAGTGCAAGCTTGCTGGGTCCTCTCACGTCCTGCTGGGAGGTGAGAGCAAGGAGCCCTCTTCCCGTGCTGTCTCCCTCTGGTGTCCCGAGCCTAGCAGACAGGTGCTATGCAGAGGCCAACCCCAGCTCAGGAAGCAGAGCCAGAAGCGAGATCTGGAGTTGGAAGGTGGCAGCTTAGTAGCAGACGCACTGTCCTTAGAGCGCCTTGGGAAAAGGCCAGGGTTCTTTCTCGGCACAACTCGGTCTGAGTCCTTCCGGGGGACCTTCTTTTGCAAGGAGAACTGTACCTACCGTCCCCTCAAGTTTACAAAATTCTACCTTGGTAAAGTCTAAAGCACACGTTCAACTAGGTCTATCCTTTTGATTCCCAGCTATCCAAAAAATCCCCTTGTATTTTCATGCAAGTAGCATGAAAATTTTCTAGCAAATTCCGCAGATGTGAAGTTTCTCATTGCCATTAAATATAATATATATCCAATTATCAATTCTATACCTTCCTCCTGTACTAGTCTTATCATCTTATCAGAAATGTGTAATTAATTTTTTCCTCTGGCCAGGTGGTGAGTAGCAAGGTTCCAGTGCAAATAACTTTTGTTCTTTTCTAGCTCATTCATTCTCTACAGTGTTTTTGAGACTCCTTGTATGAATACCATCTTGGTGTGGACCACCATGCAGTCTCTCCTTGTGATGGACCTGTTTTTAGGGAATAGAGCATGCTCCTCTATCACTGTATTTCAACCTGGAGTCCCTCCCCACCAGGTCTCAGAGATCACATGACAGTATACTCTGACGCTCACTTTGTTACAAAGGGAGACAATATGGTACAGCAAGGGCTCCTGGCCAGATCACGCATGCCCACAGCACTGTCTTCCCACTTACCAGGTCTATGTGCCCTTGTGCAAGCTGCGTAGCTTCTAGAAGCCCCGTTTTCCCCACCTGTAAAATAGAAGAGCAATACCTGCTTTATCTTGTTCTCAAGATTAAAGGAGATACACAGATACCAATCGCTGCGGCTATTGTAGCTAAAGTTTGAGGCTATCAGCACCATTTCTGTCTCTTACCTCCCTCCCAATCTCTGGCATGAAGATCCCCGGCCACCCCCATACTCACATTCATCCATCTCCTTCCCTCTGTTATCCTGAATCCCCTTTCATAGGCTCATCAAGACAAGTTTTCTTCTCTCTCTGTCTTTATTTAATTTAAACTCTTTAAATTAGGCCACCTAGAGTCTGACCAAATATCTTTCCTTGGCCAAAAATCCACCATTTGTCCGAGTACCTAAAAAGACTTTTTATTCCATATCTCTTTTCTCATTACCATCTCTTTAACGGGACATTCGACTCTCGGATCTCCCTCTTTGGAAATTGTGACCGTTGGTCAAGAAGATTATAAGTCTGCTACGTACTGCTGAGCCCTTTCATTCCTTGCCCAAAGCGTCAAAATTTCTTTTCAGATAATGACATTCATGCGGGATTTCAAACCTAAGATCAGCTGGCAGGAGATTTCTAGGAGCAAGTTAATAGGGATCTTCAAGGAATTAGGAGGAGCAAACCTTAGCGCTTAGTGGAATCGTTTTCAAGAACTTGGTGGTCCCATCTTGGGTCTGCAACTTGGACAGAATGCTTATTTCCTACTGCTTAAGTAAGGAGTTGTTGAACCTGTCAGAAATTGAAGCTATCTGCATGATGTCAAAGAAATCTGTTAATCCAGCTACTCAGTCAAATAATTGCCAAGTTAACTAGTTTGCACTTTGTATTTGCATTTACGGATTCAGCCCAAGGCTCTCTAGGGAACACATTAAGATTTAACATACAAAGGTTTGGCTTGTCTTGGCCCCAGGTCATCCGCATTTTCAAAGTACAAGTATATGCACATAGTGTACAGTGGTTCTTCCATAAATCTCTGAGAGCCAGAGAAGGGGTGTCACAAGTGGGGAATTTCATGTGTCCATGTACGCGTGGAGTTCAAGTCCAGAAGATAAATGTGTCAAGAATGCGTAACTGCTGCCGAGTAATTATGCAACTTGCATTTCTTTTTTTTTTTTTTTTTTGACAGGCAGAGTGGACAGTGAGAGAGAGAGACAGAGAGAGAAAGGTCTTCCTTTGCCGTTGGTTCACCCTCCAATGGCCGCCGCTGCAGCCGGCGCACCGCGCTGATCCTGGCAGGAGCCAGGAGCCAGGTGCTCTTCCTGGTCTCCCATGGGGTGCAGGGCCCAAGCACCTGGGCCATCCTCCACTGCACTCCCGGGCCACAGCAGAGAGCTGGCCTGGAAGAGGGGCAACCGGGACAGAATCCGGCGCCCCGACCGGGACTAGAACCTGGTGTGCCGGCGCCGCTAGGCGGAGGATTAGCCTATTG